GGGGGTTTTTTTTTGTAAAGGCCATCTCTGTGCCAGATCCAATGGATGCTGCGGGGAAGTTCAAGGGCATTGCGTAACCATCTTTTTTCCGTTTAATCTTCCATATCCTTATATCATGACCTCTTCGGGCGCTCATGCATATTCGTCATTCGCTCCTTCTCCATTCGCTTTTTGAACTTCAGGTTCTGGCGCAGAATAGTTTAGCACAGGTAAACTTTTAGAAATGGAGGTGGTGGGGCTGTTTCCTCGAATGCCCGGGGGGACCATAGCATGTTCAGTTCATTAACTTTCTTAATGTAATCGGCATTTTTCTGTGGGCTGGTTTGTAGCAATAGATGCTAAACTGTGCTGCATTTTTGTTATCGACAAGTGACACGGAGGCGCTCGGATTCGCACGGGTGCTCAGAAGTGGAGGAGACGGAGAGACAAATTATCGTTCTTTGCAAAGCCCACCGAGTTTGGTCACTGTAGCATGCTCGCTGTTCTGCCGGTAGCTCTGTGACCCTTAAAATCGGATGGTGATATTTTTCCGTGGCACAGCGTGTCGAGAGTGACTGCATTTGGAGCTCGGACACTTCCTTCAAAGATTTGCCTCATTGAGAAGCAGTCTGACTGGTGTCCCTGGTATTTGTTTTCATAGGGAATTGAAATATGCAAGTAAGATTGGGGGTTGTACCGGAGATGGAGTAAGATTGTAGTTGTTTTTGCGCGAGCACTTTTTTCAGTCGATTTGTTTCAGATGAGGCTTTTTTTCTTGTCGGCGATTTTTTTCATGGGCGAGGTGGGGAAAAATGGCAACATCTCATTCTCCTACCCTTCCTGCCTCCCTCCATTCCTTCAGTTTCTGGTTGGACGAGGGCTCCGGGTTGCGAGCAAGCAGAAAACTGTGATGTTGTTTTGTGACTAGCAAAAACACACATGCAGTATGCTCAGCGGTGCCTTTTTGATGGCTGATTTAAGGGCATTCAAAAGCAGATGTACGGCTGCTCAGTGAACTTTGTACAGGTTATTACTAGCTGATTTTTAGAGAAGGTCAGCGTGTTATCAGTCCTAAAAAAAACCTCATTCGTGAAACTGACTCGTTTCTGTAATGCATAAACATATTGTCATTTTTACTCTTCTGTACAGATAAAAGCACATTAAGGTGAAGTCAGGTTGGTACTTCAGAACTGTGGAAGCCGAAACTTTTTGGATATCATTCCCAACCTTGTGCGGCCCATAAACGACATCAGCTGGGAGTTGTGGTAGAACTTGTGATGCGGTAATCCACCGAATATGGTTTGATGCAAAAAAAACCATGTCTCAGGCATAAAATAACATGCTGTGGCATGTCCTGCGAGTACAGACTTTGCAAATTTTGGTTTCTGTTTCAAATCCTAAAGCAATAGAACGCAATCGTTACGTCCTCCTGGTGTGCGGTGCTGGTTTTTTGCAAATTTGATAGTAGTTGCTATGCGTTTTTTGCATCTATGCGATGCAGAAAACGCATATTGACAAGGGGTTGCCTTTGTGTTCGTCTGTACCGATTTTTCATCTCGAGATTTACAAAAGCTACAAGACTGAAATTTTGGGAACCTAGTCTGCGTGCATGCACGGGCCTCCATCCCCAAAATGAGCGCCCTTACCCGCGTGGTACCCACAGAGTTTTTTTCGGATAAGTTGCTAACTCGGAAACCTGAAAAGCTAGAAGACTGGGATTTAGGAGGATGTTCCCCGTCCACGTAGGTATTAATGAGTTCAAACCCAGCACCCGGATATGCACGGTTCTTATGTACGAGCCTGTGAATTTTTGTTCCGTGTAAGGTGCTAACTCGGGGACCGGGGAAGTTAGAAAGCTGAAATTTTAAAGGGATGTTTCCTGATAGTCGCCAGGGCTGTCGCAATTCTTTTAGCGAGAAGCATCTGGTGGAAAATAGTAGCGACCAAAATCTGCGGGAAACTATGCAAAAAACGCACGTTCGCATCAGTGGGTGTGCTGGTCATTTATTTTGTACTTTGATATTTAGATCAGCTGTCTTTTCAGCATGGTGCACCTTCACGCCATCAATACATTTGGCAACCTTCCCGTGGTTGCTATAGCGGGAATTTCATCACTTGCTGGTCTGTGTGTTAATGATCGTGGCGCTCGTTTCCTCACTTTCTTTCCTCGTTTGTCCAAAGAGGTGCTTGATTAACACTTTTCACCGTTTTTTTGCTCATGTAGTGTGCACATTTCAGTGATCCTCGTGCATTCTTCCAGAATGACCATCACACTCAAGAGGACTGTATTGGAGGTTTAGCAGTCTAGATTTTGCTGGGAACACCATTTTTCGAACGAAGAGATACCGCATGGTCGTTCAGCAGTTTTCTTAAGACATGAAAACATCGAAGTCGTCCGGATATACCGGGGAGGGTTTGTTCTGGTAGTCAGAGAGAGCTGCACTTGTCTTCCCTTTTTGATCCAAACGTATATAATTTGCATTAGCTATTTCAGCAAGCACGCCGTATTGTCTGGTCGCTGCCGCTTATTCCTCGTTTATGACTATATTTTCTAAAAAACGCAATGTGCATATGGTATCTTAGTTATAATATGTCAGTTTCGAGGCTTTCATTGCATTTCATTAATGTAATTCCGAGCTGCGACGCAGCAGGTCTGCCGATGAGATTTGAAGCATTTAGACCGATGACTGTATGAATGATTGTTTGCTTTACATTTAACTCGTACACTCATTGCCGTAAATCACCGTTAATTTTGCGTAAGGCAAATGG